GAATGAGAACACTTAAGAAGTGAGGGGGATGGGGGAAGCTATTGCATACCTAGAAAACAATTGCAATGCAAATGTATAATTTTGTGGATGTTGGACAAAGGCAATATTTGACAAATGTTGGGATACTATAGCAGAAGAAGTTTCCCTAACACTGGTGTTGTCCTACTCTGAGCAAATGGATCTTTGAGAGTTGTGTGAGGATCACTTTATAGATTTTTGTCACAGAGTGTAAATGGGGTCGGTGTTGGGTAGGGGAAAGAACAATGGAAAGTTTTTAGAACACCTAGGTAGTGCTTCTGCACTTCCGCCATAATACTACCATCTTGTGTGATGATGCGAAAGTCACATGATGATCTGACAGTTTTAAGTACTTTATGATTTACAAAGCACTTCCATATATATATTTCAGAGGCTTCTCCACACTCCTTCAAGATATTTAAGATGTTATCTCCATTTTTTGTAGTTTTGAATAATGGGGCTCACTTGAGGGTTTGCCTGGAGAGTAAGTGGAGAAGGTAGGATTTGAATTCAGGTTTGCCACATCAAGTCTCCTGCCATTTCCATCGTTCCACACTAGACCTTAGGCAGTTAAGCTCTTAGCTTAAGATCTGTATAATCTATCTGTGCAACGAGGGAGTGGGCCTCGATGCCTGAAAAGAACCGATACAACTGGAAAATCTATTTTCTGAAGAAAGTGTATTTTCTTTCAAAATTGTATTTGGAAAATGTATTTTTAAACTATTCGGGCACTATATCATGGATCTAAAGAGGGGCATCCACAGTGACCCAGCCTTTACAGAATACATGCCAGTAGTACTGAAGTCGACAGATCACCTTTGCAGAGTTGGCATTTAACATCGATTCAGAGTAGATATGTTTGCACAGTGAGATTCAGACTCTCACTATTATTATTGTAAATAGTATCACTTTAAAGTTATAAACCTAACAGTGCAAAATACAATTAAGAGAGAGAAAGCATTAGCTACACTTGCATTTTTCTGAATCAAAAACTTTAGTCTTGGTAACAGCCAATTGGTTGGAGACAAAGCACATTATCCCAAAGCTAAATTGCGGAAAATTGTTTTCCTGCTTCTTTTTAATATCATGTTCCCAGATGAGAACCCAAGAATCTAGCATTTTTTGAGTACCTAGTATGTACCAGGCACTTTACTATATGTTATCTCATTTCCTCCTCAAGTTCTTTGAGGCAGGTACCGTTATCTCCTTTTTATAGATTCAGGAAGACTCAGGGAGGTTAATTAACTTGCTTAGGGTCACACAGCTATTAATGAAAGAACTCGTCCTGAGACCCAGGTTGGTCTGACTGTAGACCAACATTGGTAAGTCTACACTGGAGAGTCTCAGAGTTTTTGTGTGCATCAGGATCACATGGAGGAGGGCTTGTTAAAAGATGATTACTGGGCCCCACCCTGAGTTTCTGATTCAGTAGGTCTGGGTGAAACCCAAGAATTTGCATTTCTAGCAAGTTCCCAGGTTGTGTTAGAGCTGCTGATTCTAGGACCACACTTGAGGACATCATCATCTTGTCTTCCAAGTGCCTCTGAACTCACATGATAGACACATTTGTTTTACTGCAAAAATATGGTTAGAAACCTAATAATATTTGAATTTTTATGTAATTATAAAAATTTTGATTAGCAGTAAGAAATCTACTTAAATATATTAATCTAGTTTGGGTTTTAACTGTGGATAAGCAATTTAAAGACTCCACTATATTATAAATTAGTCAATGTTGCATTCACTTTTAATAACTAGATCTACCGAATTCTTTTTTTTAACCATGAAAAGCATTCAGAGGAAAGATACTGTTGTTAATAATTATTATTTTAGATATGCTGATGAGGTGATAAATTTTATCCTTTGATAGTCAAATTTATGATGGGATTTTAAATAACATTTGGATAAGGTCATTGTTCTTTTAGGTATTTTGGAATCATTGCTAAAGATCAACCTCCAAAAGGACCTGGTAAGCAACCCTTCTACACACGTATTAAACCTGACACCGAATGCTGCTATGTGCTGACTTAGTTTCCATGTCTTCTGACTAGAAGAGTTGGAAAGTTCAGCTCTGATGACCAATTCATTATAATGGACTTAAGAAACTATGCTGTCCCAAATTTGCCCTGGCCTTCGCATGTTTGTTGAATGAGTGATTATTAATTTAAAAACCCTGCAAGAACATTGCTTCAGCATTTTTTATTCCTGGTTTTTTCATCAACTAATTAGAGTATGCGACGCCCCTCTAGGGTAAAATGATAAGTCTTAACTTTCAGCTCTCTGCCCAGCAATTAATAACAGCAGCAAAACATCTAACCCAAATAAACTTTAGATTTTAGATGGCGTTTTATTTAGGCCTGGGGACCGGGTAACATTTTTCGGTGGAAGGCAAAAGGTGTTATGTTAGTGCTTATAATTACCTAGGAGAGCAGTTGCTATACTGCCGTTATTGGCTGCAGCAGTTAAACCTGGCTCTCAGCAGGATCTTTGATGGAGGGGTCAGACTGTTTTTGCTACAGCCCATGGGGAAAGTGACAGTGATTTTAGGCATTAGATCTTCAGCTGGGACAAGGGAAAAATTTTGTAAATTAAGATAATTGCTTTGGTCATCTATAAGTCATTTTAACCATGGAATCTTCTGACATTTATGCCTGACTAACTGCATCTTCATATTGCTCAGGCTTTTTTTAAGCTAATATCCTGTAGGAAGAGATCTTCCTAATCTTGTCCAACCCTCTGAGACTTAGATTTTAATATCAAGCAATTATTTTGTGTCAAGGAATTAAGAAGAAAAAAGGCCTTGTTATACTAGAACATAAACAAGCTGGGTGCTTACACAGCATTCCCTATCTTCCCATTCCTTCGTGCTCAGTTTTTATTAAAAAGTATGGATGCTTTTATAGAAGTTTGAATTTTATGCATTCCATACCAAATGTCGCAGCTGAAGCATTCACTAATCAATCAGATCTAAATACCTCACCTGCCAAAAGCTCGCTCCCTACAAATGAACAGTCTCTGGTGAATTCATTCGGAATTTTCCTGGAACTTAGGCTGGCAATCCTTATGAAATTTGTTGCAGCTGCAAAAATGTGCTTAAATGTGGAAATAAAATCCCTACTTCGTCCTCTGAATCAGTTAGCCATTTCTGTCTCCCCTGCTAGACACCCATAAATGTTTGTTGAATGAGGAAAAGAAAGCATCAGTTAGTCCCTAGATTTGTATCTGCACAACACCAAATGATTGGGGAAGCTGATTAAAATTATTATACTTTTACTGAATTGACTGGTCATTTTGCCATACATACTTGGTCGCTTATGTTTTGGCTTTTCAAAAATTAAGCAGGGATAAGAACATGCCCATGCCTACAGATTGCCTCCCACGCTGATTATCAATTTATGTGACCATTTAAAAATGTATAGGGAGCAATTTAAGGTCACTTGAGTCATTTTAAATAGTGCAAGAGTTTTTGTAAATTTAAACAAATCGCTTGGATTTGAAACTAATATATTAGTGTCAAAGGTAAAGGTAAGTCAATAGATTATATTTCTATCCTGGAGAGATAGAAATTAATCCATTTAATATTGTGCACAAATATAATGTTTCTTTAAAAATACATGTGAGTGTAAGTATTTGCAAAGGATGAAGAAACTTTCGAAAAACTTCAAAATTTTGTTCAGAAGGAAAGGATATAATGGAGCAGTCCGTAATAAGTTTAAAATTGTACTCAAAAAGTAAAGCTTAACTAGAAACTGACTAATCAGAATCTTAACTTGCAATTTTTTCAATACCCTGATTTTATGAGACACATACACCCACCCACCCCCAGTCTAACAGTTGAAGATAGTTGAAGATATTAAAATATATTTCATTGTATGTTCCAGTATTCTGGGGTCAATATATATTCAGCCCAATCCATATATAAAAGATTTTCATTTAATCTTCGATTAGCAAACATGTTTGATAACCAAACAAAACTGAAATTTTATTGGAGTGTGTGCATTTCCTTTATAGGCAGGTAAATGCACATTGTTTTTCCACAACTGGGATTAGAAAGCCATAGAACAACATATACTTAATGGAAGCTAATTTTGCCATGCAAATTCATTAAAAATGCACATTTTTTGAAAAGAAAACTATGTGCGTCCATTCTTTTGATCAAATTCAGGATTGCCCTAAAATATGGATCAGAAGAAAGCTGTGGCTGTCAGTTTGTGACAGTCACATTTTAGCAGTTCTTAAGGAGACTCCATCCCACCCCCCCCAAAACAGAAAAATTAGAGAAACTTGTTTCTAAGCATTCAAGGAAATGTGCCAGTGGAAAATATTTTAGGTAGTTTGTGAATGCAGTTAGAGACAGGATTTAAATAGAAAGGCCTTTTTGTCCTCATTAATGCTGGCCTACATTCATGTATTTGGAGATGGCTTCCTATACTGTCAGAGCTTTATAACTCTAAAACTGTTTTTTTCCAGTGTGGTGGAATGAATGTAATTAACTATAAACATCTCAATACAGAAGGGTATCTGTTCTCAAAAGTGACTAAAGTTCTCTTTCTCCCCCTTGAACTACCGTGAGTTGAGGATCATCTGAGTTGCATCCATGAACAGTTTTATCCCTTAGTGTCTTATTTGCTTGGAAGGCATTTTCATAACAAAGTACTGGTTTAGTAAAAGCAGTAAATAGGAGTCTCCATGCAAGAGAAATTGGAGTTTCCTAACATGCAGATGATTTAAAAAATAAAAAAAAATAAGGTGCCTTGAGATGCTGGCAGTTTTAACATTTGGAACAAAAGAATTCTTATGTATATTTACATCCTAACTGCTCAATTATACCTTACAAGCTTCAATTTAGGAAAATATACAGTACTTTTGCATATAATGGTACCTTGTGAGCCCCTGAGTCAAGTAGAGAGGATTTAAATACAAAAAGGAAAACAGCCATTAAAAGCACTTACATTGTATGTGGAGTAAATGGTACAAAATGATTATTTCCCTGGAAGACCAGGATCAGAAACATGCCTATGAAGACCCAAGATTCCTACAGTGCTTAGGGATGAATCTGTCAAAGAAGGATGCCTAATTGGAGGAAGGTAAGTTTTTCTTTGCCTCGGGCGAAGCTCTAAAGAGAGATCACTGTCTTGTTTTACAAGTGAAGTCAAGTTGTCTTCCGAAGCTGTGTTCAGATGCACCCCACTTGAGAGGGATTCTTTGGATTTAAGTTTAGATTTTTCAAGGTCTAGAAATTCAGGGCACTGATAGAAAGAAAAGAAAAGGAAACTCGTTTTTATAATTCATTTGGACACATTTCTAAAATTACACTTATGAAATCTAAATATGTTTTCTTTCCCCATAAATCTGTATTTGATGAGTGGTGTTAACCAACCTTTCCCTCCCAAAGATGGGTCAAGACATTGGAGGTCAGGTATCAGTTAAATAATCCTAAACAACCATTCCAAGAACTTTAATTTTACTCTGAAGCCAGATCAGATTCTTTTTTTTTATATATACATTTTTTTTCACATTGAGTTTTCCAGATGAGTTTTAATTCAAAATTCAAGACAAAACTGGGATCGGAAACGTGGGTCATTTGTGAAGTAGGGAGTATAAGGAGGAGAGAAAAGAAAAAAAGAAGAAAAATCACCTGTCCCTAGTCAGAAAATATAATCTAAATCTACTGAAAACAAAGGACAAAGTACATGGTTTTGCATATTTGCCAGCCATTCAAAACTAGAGATAGATAAATTTCTACTTTCATATTTTAGAAAGATTTCATTATTTTTCTTCTGCACATTCCCTCCTGTTATTAATGTAGTTTCATTTCCCAGAACATTTTATACTAAATTCCCAAACTTCTAAAAAAGTTTTACAAGATTGTTCTGTAAATCCTAATTTAAATCGTCATTCACAGGTCCAATTTGGCCAGTGTTTAAGTAACTAAGAATGATTCCCAGGATAGAATTCCAAAGGAGTTAGACTTTTCATATTAACATAATTCAGAAGGGCCCTCTTAGAGGGCTTCAGAGGCAGGTTATAAAGGACACTTCAACATTCCTCCTCTTACCATCCTCGGGGTGAGAAAAGTTTATAGATCTCTGCTGATGGGTAGGGCACAGATGAGATTACCAGTCTGATGGCACTGGACTCTCAGGTCTTCTCTGGCCAGCTGCTATTTCTCCTCCCCTTCCTGTCTGACCCTGCCCAGCCTCTTGTCATGTGAGCAAATTACAGACCTTTCTCTGAAGCGCTTTCTTCAGAGGACCCAGGGCTATTCCTTAGCTTTCAAAGCTCTACCATATATAAGCTTAAGTAGATTGATCCTTGAAAAAAACTTTTTTCTTAAAAAATGCTAACATTTTAAGATCATTCTTCTATGTCCATTGTTCTCAAACATTAAATGAACATAAGAATCAGGGAGCTTGTTTAAAATGCAGATTACTGGGTCTATTCTCAGAAATTCTAATTGAGTAGAAACAAAGATGGGGATGAGAATCTGTATTTTCCACAGCACTCCTGGTGATTCTGATTCAGGTAGTCCCTGGAAACACACACTTTGAGAAACACTCTTGGTTGTACACTGTCTAAACTCACTTGTGAGGAAGGACTGAAACTTCGATGGGTCTTGATGGATGCTACCGGATGACTGGTTCTCATCAGGCCGATGACCGGTCTCTGATACTCTGCTCCTGCAGTTACCATACTGTAGGCTGGGGGGACCACAGTAGTTTGTTTCTGCAGTAGCTGTAAGATGGTCTGGATGTCAGCAGTCATCTGGGATTCAAGTCTGCAGGACAGACAGAAATGGGGGAAGACAGGCCTAAAAATAGTCCAGGATTGCAAAGCATTTGAGAAAATTCAGCACCACCCACAAACAGAGTTATAGCCCTGCTTTAAACAAGAAGGGCAGGAGAGGGAGCACGGAGATTCTCTCCTGGCTGTTGCTCACTTTCTGTCTCACTAATGCTTCTGATAAAGACCATTGCTTTCCTGTTCATTTAATAAGACCTTAACAGAAAAACAGCTGAATGGACTAGTTTACATTTTTACAATGCACATTGTATTAAATTTTTACAATTGTTTTATTGATTTCAAAATGTAAAATGCACTGGGAATCTATTTTTAATCGATAATTGTCTTTGCTTTTTAAGAAGGCTTTGCTCAGTTTCTTGTGAACATTTTATTTACTCTTTAGAAAAGAGATTTGGTAGCACATTTCTTTCTTAGTTGCAACAATTGGATAATTTCTTTTGTGTTTCTAATTTATATTACCTTTATTTTACCTTGCCTCTCTCCTATTCACATCAAGTATTGTGTATTAATCATTGTATTCTTTCTTTAATGTTAAGTACTGTTAAATGTTAAATTCCTTTCTCATCTACAGTTCGGGGCCTTTGGTATTTAAGAAACAGATCAAATGTAAAAGTTCACTTGCTTCTATGACCCACCTAGCTTGCAAAATATCAGTCTGATCATTTTTTCCCCAAAGCTCACAAGTAGCCAACTGGCCTGTTAATTTCATGCTCATTTTTAAGTTAAAATTCAAGGGAAAATAGCAAAATACAATAGGTCTGATTCCCCTCCCTTGCATGTGTTAACATCATTAAAAAAGAGAAAATTTTGTGGGCATAAGAACAAAAAATTTGGACCATATGCCTCTTGAGAAAAGTCTTCTTTTAACTTTCTACTTATTTGTGCTTACTATTTTTGTCTTTGAACGAAAAATGCAAAGAAAAGGTAAATCTTACCAAAAATAGTAAAATCATAGAACTAATTTTGCCCAATTATATGCATGCTATATTTATGGAATTCAAAGTGGAGAGAACTTAGCCTTTGATTTGAAAGAGAACAAGAATAAACCTGAAAAACATGAAAAAGATCATTTAAAAATTTTTAGTTCTTACTATTGATACTACAAATCTTCCTTCTGAGAATCATAAGGACACATTATTCTTACAGGTTTTCTATATTTGATATATATAGCCATATAGCCTAGTATCTTCTAAACCAATAGCTATAAATTATACATGATTGTTCCTTGTAAATGTCAGAATCACACACTGAAAAGGGAAAAATTGAGTTATCAACTAGTTTATTTATCTACTTGTTGCCTGTAGGTCTGATCTCATTTTTTATGGTGCCAAATAAACTGAGCAGACTTGTTATTTTATGGTTGTGCATCAATTTTTCCTTTCACTGTTCAAGGCCCAGCTCAAATTTTATCTGCACCCAAAAATCTTCCCTTATTTGACCCAGGCAGAATTCATTTCTCTTTCCTCTGAGCCCTCAAAGAAAATTCTATGTTCAGATTTCATCATAAATATTTCTGAACAAATTTATCCTATCATTAACAGCATTTAATATTTAGTGAATGGCTTATACTTGTTTATTACATTGAATGTAAAAGGATTTGGGGATGGGGAGTGGAATAAAAACTTTATCAACAAATGAGATTCAAGAACCAATAGAGAGTCAAAAATTATCATAATGTGTTTGAGTCCTATAAAACCTTTGTCAAACAGCGTGGTCTCTGAGAAACAGCATCTGTATGTCATGGATTCTATCTATTTGAATAGTGTCTATGAGGAAAAAATCTGTTGCAAGATGGGGCTTCAGTAATTGCTACATGCTTCTGTGAGTGGGACCCACTTCACCTTCAAATGTGCAGGTGAAGTAACCGGTGCGGGGTGAGAACTGAGACTGTTTGTGTCAACATGACTTAGGTAAGACTGCAGACCACCTTTGTCAACATGACAGTTGTTTGTTCCGGGAAATCTTTGCCTGAGAAAAATAAGACTAAACAAATAAATAACTTTACTCCTTCAGGAAATTTCTATAGATGAACTCATTGGAGACAGCTGTCCGCTCATCGGAAGAAATAACTTGCTTATCAAACAAATTTTATTTATGCAGACTTGTTTCAAGATCCTCACCTCACTGTGTCCATCAATCTTGAACTATTATATCATAAGCTTTGCCTAATTCCAATCAGCTCCCCAGAAAGGCCCCCAGAAAGGGGACTTTGAAATGCCCAGACTCCGAAATGCCATAAATATCCTACTTATTTCCTTTCTGAGATATCACTTAGACTCTGTTAAGATGGCAGTCTCCCTTCCTGCAGTGATTTTGAATACTTAGTTTTGTTTTATTAATTGCTTATCTGATATTTTCGGTAGTTCGATGCAATGGATTAAACATTTATGCCCCCCCCCCAACTTATATATTGAAGCCCTAACCCCCAATGTGATGGTACTAAGAGGTGGGGCCTTTGGGAGGTGATTAGGTCACGAGGGTAGAGCCCTCATGAATAGGATTAGTGCTTTTATAAAAGAGACCCCAGAGAGCTTCCTTCCTTCTTCCACCATGTGAGGACACAGTGAGAAGACAGCCATCTATGAACCAGGAAGTGGGCTCTCACCAGATACCCAATTTGCTGGTGCCTTGATTTTGGACATCCTAGCCTCCAGAACTGTGAGAAATAAATATCTGTTGTTTATAAGCCACCCAGTCTATGGTATTTTTGTTACAGCAGCCTGAACAGACTAAGACACTCAACAAGTGGAAGCTTTAGTGAAGAATATTTTTACTATGCATAGATTATATTTTCATGTTTTATGACTAGGGTCTATTGGCTTAACTGGAATGGATTCTTCTGTTGAGACTACATAATCTACTTTACTCAAGAGGAATTACAAATAATTTTTTAACGTCTAGCTTGGTCTTTAAAACAGAAAAGAATAACCCAGTTTTATAACTTATTATTATTTTTTTTTGTCAATGAAGCTTACCAGAATACGCCAGCCGAAAATATGCCACTTGGGCACATTGATAATTTTGAGCTGTAGGTGCTTGAAAAACAGCATATGCAGGGAGAGGCTTTCTCTGAACACCCCTTATCTGCCTAAAGGCAGATCCTCCAAAAGGAGCACAAGTGTCATAAATCCTCTCCCCGAGAGCTTCATCAAGCAGGGGAGATTGACTCTTGTCACAAGAGAGGAGACTAGAAGTTGACATCACACTCAGGCAAACTTTGTCACAAATTATCATACCTCCCATCTAGTCTTCTAAGGGTCCACTCATCTTTCCTAAAAATCATTTCCTCTCCTCTAAGAGGCCTACATCCCTCTCCCTTTTCCATATTAAGATGGTATTTAATCCTGAATTCTAAGCCACCTTGGGACTTACTCATTTTTCCCTGGGCATCTCCCATGTACACATGAGGTATACATGTTAATAAACTTTTGTTTGTTTTTCTCTTGTTAATGTGTCTTTTATTACAGAGGTCTCAGCCAAAACTCAGAAGGGTAGAAGGAAAATTATTTTTCTTCCCTTACATCAGCATAGCTATACAACTGAATAAAATGAAGGTTTCATCCACTTATTCAAAGACCCACAATGTACCAGGCACTGTGTTAGGTGGGAAAGTGAGGAGAGAACATGATGATGAATAAATATGGACTCTGATCCCAGGTGCTGACAGGAGCTGACCACCTAGAAAGGAAAAATGAAGGAAGTGCATAAATTACCATAACACTAGGTGAAGCAAGTGCGCAATGCCGCACTGAAGGCACACAGAATAATTGCTCTGCGTGTTCTGCAAGGGATGGAATCATTACTAAAAGCTTTCACCTTCTGTGGGGCCTCCCTACTCAAAGTGTGGTCAAAGCTGGGAGCTTGTTAGAATATGGAATCTCTGCCAGACTCCAGACCTACCGACTTAGAATCTGCATTTTAACAAGATCCCCAGTTGATACAAATGCACATTAAAGTTTGAGAAGCACTGCTTTACTATCAAGAGTTAATGATTTCTCTAAATAGGTATATCTGTAGGCATAATATATAAACATATAAGAACATTTCTTGTGTAAACCTTTAACCCTATGTATAGTTTAATTGGCCATTAAAGCAGAAAAGCAGCAGCAGCAAGGATGGTTCCAGATCCACCATTTATATTGTTTTTTATTGAATTGTGTACTTGATACGTGTATTTGGATGAGACAGATGGGATAGAAATTCACAGTTCTGCATTAGAACAGAAAGCTGAAGCTAAACAGGGTAGACCCAACTCTAGAAAGTGTCCCAGGATTCTCGCTCTGCACAGTTGAAGTCTGAACTGAGCTGCCCTCATCGTACTTGTTTTCTTTACTTTTGCTTCTAAAGTGGAGGGAAGAGGTTGTTGGAGATGACAGTACAGTAAAAATGTAGTATTTTTTATTTTAAATCTAAAAGAGGCTAAGCTGAGTCAGGCAATAAAATGTTTGTGAAAATATCAGAGATAAATAGAAAAAAGTTAGTCAAAAGAAAAGAAGCATGTCAAAGGACATACAGACGCTGGGAACATGCCAAAAGAGCTTTAATTGCAGTTTGGCTGTGGAAAAGTTTCATATAATAACAATTTGAAAAGCTAATGTCATAAAATAACGATTATTGTTATTAGTGGGCGGTTGCAAACCAAACGAGTCCTAGATGTATGTGCCCTTAAAAGTTTATATTTTCAGCCCTGGGACATATTGAAAACAAATGTTTTCAATAATCTTTGACTTATGCTAGCAGCAACGATTGGTACCAATGACAAGGCCACAAGGAGATCCTAAAAATCTCAATTTTAGTCCTGAGAAAAGGTCCAAATCATGAAATACAAAAATACATGTGAAGAAGGAAAATACCGTAGTCTTCCCTTATCCGTGATTTCACTTGCTGCAGTTTCAGTTACCTGTGGTCAACCATGTTCTGAAAATATTAAATGGAAAATTCCAGAAATAAACAGTTCATAAGTTTTAAATTGCACGCTGTTCTGAGCAGTGTGATGAAATCTTACACTGTCCCTCTTTGTTGAGGCTGGGACGTGAATCATCCCTCTGTCCAGTGTATCCACACTGCATACGCTACCTACCGTTAGTCACTTAGTAGCCATCTCGCTATCAGATAGACTATTGGGGTATCGAAGTGCTTTTGTTCAAGTAACACTCATTTTACTTAATAATGTCCCCAAAGCATAAGAGTAGTGATGCTGGCAATTCAGGTACGCCAAAGAGAAGCCGTAAAATGGGTCCTTTAGGTGAAAAGGTGAAAGTTCTCTACTTAATAAGGAAAGAAAAAAATCGTATGCTGAGGTTGCTAAGCTCTATGGTAACTTTTATTACAATATATTTATAATTGTTCTATTTTATTATTACTTATTGTTATTAATCTCTTACTGTGCCTAATTTATAAATTAAACTTTATCATAGGTATGTATATATAGGAAAAAACATAGCATATATAGGTTTCGGTACTATCCAGGTTTCAGGCATCCACTGGGGTCTTGGAACATATCCCCTGTGGATAAGGGGGGACTACTGTACACTCAGATGAACACCAATAATAGAAGTGAAATTCATTGTTAATCAAATTTTCCCTAACTGCAAGAACAGCGCTTTCTATTTGTATAGCATGTGGAGTCTCCACATTTGTTATCTTAGTCTTTACAACAGCAATGCAGGCAGGTATAAGTCAAAGAAAGAAACTGATCCTGGAGAAATTTAACTAACTTGACTCAGTCATCCCATAAGTAAAGTAGCAGAGTTATGACTTTAATCTAGGCTAACCAATTGCAAGTACTGTGCCAGTATTGTGCTAAAGAAATCACTGCTGTCCCTGTCATTCATCCATTCATTCACTCACTTTTTAATTTACTCAACAAACTGAATACATACCAAATGTCCTGCCAGTAAAGAAATGAGCAGTTATTTTCTCTCAGTCACAGGAATGGAAGAAGTTCAAGTTCAAAGACTACACATATCAATTCTTATGTGTTACACAGTATATATATTTATATATGTTATAAGAAGATCAATGTGGCTTGGTATAAATAGCAGGGGAAGAAAAAAAGCAAATGTATTAATTAACTAACTAAATATGCTTCTCTGACCAATAATAATTATCATGGCATGTTCTTATACTTTACTTAGGAATTACTGACTCTAAGTAAATGATTGTTTAAATTTTCTCCGGTATGTTTCAATTTTACAAGACTTGAATTTGGCACTTGGGAATGAGATATGGACCTCAGCACCAAGCGATTTTAAATTCAATTAAATTTCCTGGTAACATATATGTGTGTGCACACTCATTTTAACGCGTTTACTGTATTGTTTGAAACTGTTCAATTCTGGCATAAAGATTTAAAAAAACAATAAAAACAACAAACAGCATGCATAAAACACATAAGAAATATTAAGCAGATAGTAAGTAAACCAGTAGCTTATGTGGTATAGGCAAAACTCATAGGATGTAAGTATAGATAAGGAGTAAGCTAGTAGCTTGTTAGATATGGGCAGAATTCATAAGATCTATTAAATACAGACAGCATGCTAATAACCTGCAAGACATGTCAAAGATAGAATATAAATATGATGTAACAAACCAGAGTGTAGCATATGAATAGAAAGAGATGGAAAGAACAAGTTTTTCTCACATCACCTCTGGGTAGACAATTGTCACCCCCAAATTTGGTCACCCACTGGTGACATACAGCATAGGCTCATTCTGGCTCTCCATATGCTTAACTTACAAAAAGCCAATAAAACACATGGCTGTTCAGCAGGCTAATTATAGAGGCATAGCTGAGGCCAGGTGCACTTGCCTTACATCTTTGTGGTAGAGCAAGTATGTGTCATTGGCACAGGGGATTTTTTGTCTGTGGACCCCTTTGTGCAAACCTCAGCTCTGGTCCTCGTAACTACACCATCGGCAGAGAAGGCTGATGCAGCATATATGAACACTGGGTAAACTAGGATTCAGGGAATGTAGTACTTTTGCCATGCTTACATTTATAAGAAATGTGGTATTACCCCATTTGGCTCCCCTCATCTCTCATTGTGTGTTTCAAATTGATTTAGTAAATCCTGTGATTTGAGCATTTTAGGTTCATCCATGCTATCGATGTGACCAGTGGAATACTTTGCCTGGTGGTGTACCTGGATGCTACCTTTGAATCAAGATAAATTCCCACGTGAAACATAACTAAAGCAGCTAAATCATATTCATTCATATATTTTTTTCTGTCTTATTGACCAGTTTAATTTTAAGGAATCCATGCAGATTTGGGTTAAGGAGTTCCATCCTAACCAAAAACAAAATTAAAAGGGGATAGATTAAAGATGGGGGGAAAATGGGGAGGATCTGGACTTCAACTCTGTGGGATTTTCAATTCAATCACATTTTTGACAAGTTGACTGAATAAATGTTTAAATAATTTCATCGATACTTTTATTTTTTTTTAATTTTTTTTTTAAAGATTTTATTTATTTATTTTCCCCCCCAAAGCCCCAGTAGATAGTTGTGTGTCATAGCTGCACATCCTTCTAGTTGCTGTATGTGGGACGCGGCCTCAGCATGGCCGGAGAAGCAGTGCGTCGGTGCGAGCCCGGGATCCGAACCCGGGTCGCCAGCAGTGGAGCGCGCTCACTTAACCACTAAGCCACGGGGCCGGCCCTCATCGATACTTTTAAAAAAATGCCATTACACATGATTAAGTTACCAGAAACAACCAAAAAGCTTAAAAGAAGGATAAAAAGAGGAAGGATATTAGTCAACAAGCTAAATAAGAATTATTTTGAGGAAAAAAAAGGAGTTTTCTTAGGCAGCTGATGTGGTTAATACTAATTTTATGGCAAGTCAAGAAAAAAATAGGATTTATGTGGCCAGAAGTTTGAAGTGTTCTAAATAAATGCTCCTTGCAACACAGATTAATAATTCTGTCAACTTCTAGTCTTATTTTAAATAAGTCAGCATATGAGGAAACTATGAGATCTATTGCAGGAAAAATTTGCTATTTACAAAGAGTCAAGCTAAACCCAACTAAGGGCTTGGGTTATGTTCTCTTTTTGTCTCATCATTGCTTATACCTGTTAAGTTGTTCTTGAAGCAAATCTAGTCTTTGCTCCACTTCTCCGTATGTGAGGTCACTTTCGGTTTCAGAGATCCCCCAGGCAGCTCGCTGAAGTGCTGAGGGACTAGACTCATCAGCCTGAGTCCGGGCATTTTCTCGTTCCCAGACTTTTGTGTCAGAGATATCTGTGGGAAATAGCAAGATGAATGTCAACTTCTTTAGGTGCCCATTTGCATCAGAAACACAGAGACGTCCACAACACAAGCAGGAAGGGATTTTGAAGTATAACCTGAAGACAGAGAACCAGAGTGACTCAGAGACCTGTCCAAGGGCCACAACCAATTGATAGCTGTGTCCCACCCACCCTGACCCTGCCTGCTGTCTCCCTCACCATTTCCATATGAATAAAAACATATAGCCGGTTATGAGTCTTGAATACAATTTTGTCTTCTTTCTTTTTGTGCTAAGAGGAGACACGGATGGCCAACTCAAAACTCTGAGTAGAGAATAGTGATTTCGTGCTTTTATATTTAGGAAGAAACAGCACCATTTGTACTGCTTCCCCTCTGGTTTAAGATTTTAGGGCTCTTTCCTGCAGGATAATTTGCATACTTCATGATTCAAAATGGGCCCAAGGAGAGAGCCATGGAGAAGTACTGATCTTCAGGAACATTCCCTTAGGCCAAACCAACTCAAAGTAGAGCCAACGAACCATAAGCCGTTAAAGATGGGAAGGTCTTGAAAGTGCTCTAGTCCCATGACACTCTTCCTTTACATTCCTCTGCACTCTCCTTTAACATAGTCACATTAATTTCCAATATTCTTTCTTGTGGCTCTTTTATTTAAAATATTTTCATGTTACTATACTCTAAAGCATATTGCTTATCTCTTCAAGTCCACTTTTCAAATGCTCTGAGTGTCTGTTACGTGCTAGGTACTTTCCTAAATGCAGAGCAATTAAAGACGAAGAAGATATAAGCCCTGCACCTGAGGAATTCAGTCTAGCAGGGTTTAGGTAATTTTTCATACAGAGATTCATTTTCTGAGCTTCTTTTAATTTACTGCTTCTGCTGCAATCTGTGTTTGCAAGTTATCAATATTTGAGGGCAAATAATCTTACTTTTTCTCTCATTTTTGTCATATACTTTTGATGGCTTTTGCTATGCCTTCCTACCCTCTACATTTTATGTATCTAGAAAAGGGCTTAAAATGAATAAAAGGTTGGAAAACAAAACCCATGAAAAAGTACTAATGGAGTTTGGAGTTTATTTCAGAGATAAAGAAGGAGCGACGTCTTTTTCTCACTGGGAGGCTAGTAGGAGGAAAAGACTATCTGAAACTGGTCTTCATTTTCACATGGAAATAGATTTGAATTACAGAAAGTGATTTTGGTTTGATAGAAAGACTTCTTTTTTTTTGGACAAGTAGCTATAATTAAACACTGACAAAAGTTATGTAAACTCAAGGAATTTATATTCTAAGCTATTTAAAAAAGTTGGATAGGAAGTAACCAATTTGAGGAGGATTAGCTATGATTCTAAAAGCAGGGAACAGGATTTGTAGGACTTCTTGAAGTCCCCTCCTTTCCTGCCTTTCTACAGTCAGATAGCTTAAAAGCATCCTCTTTCTCCAAGTAGCAGACAAAATTTCCTTTCTTTATGGTTTTTCTATCACTATCCTTTTGTCATTGAATACACAGAAATTTCTCTAATGAGGTGCCTACAATTTCTGCCTCAGTTGGATGAAGCTATAAGAAAGAAATTAGCATATCCAAAGATAGCATTAGAAAAATATAAGGTCAGGGTTCCCTGTTCTATGGAAATGGCTAACAGACCTCAGAAAGCTTGCTATGAATTCCAAATGGTTCTTTGTGATGAAGGCTTCCTTAGCCTATAGGATCTTGGTGCTTTGTTTTAAAGTGACAGTATATAATTTCTTTTGATGTTTTACCAAACAGAACAAGAGGAAAATGAACACAGAAAAATGTTATTGCTGGAATTTCAAGAAATGTATCAGCAGATTTTCACTGAAAAGTATGATTTATTATTCACAGATATGTAACTCTATTTAAAATGCAAAACAATAATACAATGTTTTAGCACACTAGGTTTCCAATTTGGGAGCAGCAATGCCAAACAAACATTCAGAACACACATATAAATGATTTGATGAGACCAATGCTTGTCCCTGTCTAACCTCCTGCTAGCCGTTTCATGTAGGAATCTTTAAAGAAGAAGATCATAAGAACTGATAGGGAAGTTACATATTATGCTCAGAAGTTCTGTGCCAAGAAAGCTTACAGAATTTCTGCCTATGCTTAACAGCTCTCTCATTCTCAAATCATATATAATAAATTGATTTTTAAATAACAATGGTGAATCACATGCAATAAATTATGTAGGATTATATTTTTTCTTCAGTGCACAATTATGTTCTCCAGCAAAAATGAATAAAATGTAAACTATTAGATAGAGACTTCCTTGATTATAATTTACTCTTTTATTAAAATCTGGATGTGTGTGATTAGCTTGTTTTAACAGCAATATTAAAAAAAAGGCGTTCAATGGGGAAATCCTGGTTAGTGGTCTTAATCAAAACGAACATCCTTGTAGACACTTTCTAAATATAGCTCAGAAAGAATCTGCACTTGGTTGCCTTGGAAAATGTTGCTATAGTTGCAAGACACATTTCTGGGAATGTATGAACAGAAAGAAAACTTGCACTGTGCTCTGGATACATAATTTTCCTAGAGTCAACTTTCTACCTCAACTTAAGTAGAATCAGAGTCCCATTTGTTTTTTTCTTTTTAGTTTTGTCTGAAGTGCTTTTCTGTTGGATTCAGCATGACAAATGCCAGGAATGTGAGTAACTGAAATTTCCTATCCATGATCAAACTAACATTTGTGGAGATTTAGTCGTTCAAACTGCAGCAGCTACAGCCACACACTTACATTATTCAAATTCTCGAACATTCCACAGTACTTGACCTTAAAAAACCATTAGGGAATGAAATTTGCAGTGACTGAAGTTTTAGAATTCTCCATTGGTTGGTCCTATTAATAAATCAGGTTAACCACGTGTCACACTGATTGATGCTATATGACATCGATTATGTTTATTCAATCATCATGCATATTTAACTATGCATTTTCTAGGTAATTGTATATATTTGAATAGGGTTTGCATTGTAAATCTTGAATATTAAAAATTTGTAGATATTAAAATTATTTGTTAGAATACTATTTATTGTGCATGTAGAACAGCTAATTAAAAATAATTGGAAAAAGTGGCAAAGAAAAATATAAGATGAAGGGCATGAGAATTCACTGTCAGCGAGTCATTATAAAGTCTAATAAAATCCAAAAAATATATCTTTAATGCCTTGTCACTTGAGAATCTAAAATTCAAGAGGAAAACAACAAAAAGTACTTTTTAAAAAATCAGGGCCATATTAGGCTGACTTGAGGAGATAGTAGAGATGGTTCAGCAAGCTCTTCAGAACTTCTGACTTCCATGATACAACTTTTTCTATTTTTAGCACTTCCCAGAGTCTGTTTCATAAATAACTAAAATGAGACATTTGGTAATCATGTCTAATATTCCATTCTTCCATTGTGATAAATGAGGTACTATTTTCACTCACTTCATCAAGATTTTAGATTGTCCAGAGAAGATTTGCATATATTCTTAGCTTACTTCAATGTGAGGTCATGGCAGAAGCTGATTTGATAAGATAGGGAAAGAAACTTTGAAAAAAATGTAAAGCCTAAACATCCTAGATTCAATAAAACTTTTGTTGTCAAATATAGTCACTTTGAGTAATGGTGACGATGATAGGTAATATTTCCTTTGTGCCAAAATTTTGCTATCCTGCCAGGCCAAAAACATCCTATTTTTCCTTCATTTCTGTTATATTCTTTTGATTTTTTTGCTATACCTTCTTTATTGCTATGTTTTTATATATCCAGGGATATATTCAATGATTAAAGGGTGAGCAAATAAAACCTGAGAAAATGCTAAATCGAGTTGGGATGTTATTTCAGAGAAAGTAATTTATGCATGTTAACTTGTTTAATAATCGCAATTGACAAGTTGGTTAGAAAATATTATTTTTCTTTTAAAGATGTGCAAACTGAGTCTTCATGAGGTCTGTCAGTCACTTATCCAAAGTCATAAAGGGAGCAAATGATAGAGATGGGGTTGAAACCCAAGCAGTTGACCCACACCTATTCTCGCACCCACTTACTAGATAAATCTGAATAGATCTATAGATCTAGCTCCTGTTATGCTAAGTTTATTGTTCTTCTGTGTGACAGTTCTCAAGTTTTCCTGAGTTTCTCATCCTTTCACATCAAATCTGCATACATTAATCAAGCATTATTACACATCTCATGCATATTTTCTACCATAAACCTATATATTTGGGTATTCCTTTTGGTAGAGATGTTAAACAAATGTGTTTAAATGAGTTGGATCAAGAGAATACTTTATTTAGGGGCATTTTTCCCTATTTTCTGATAATTCCCAGTAAAATGAAATTCTTTTTGGGATTTACTGTAGAGTTATTGCATTGGCCTTTCGTGCTATAAAATGACAGGGTTCAGGGTAAGGAACAAGCGAAGAAGATACATATAAGAATCAACTGGTTAGTTCTCTTAAAATACTCATTGATCCCCTCTCTCCATTGGAATCACTACAGTAGATATTACCACAATGTTCTATGTGGCATTACATTAAGTCTGACTGGTCACAAAAACTCTCTTATGATATTGTTTGGGCATAATCAGTGTTCCAGAATCGTGCAAACACTTTGTAGATGATCTGAGATTTGAACTCTTTGAAAATATTTAATGAAATAGCAAAAGATTAGATTAATATGTGTCAGTACAGTTCTTCATTTGTGAAAAGTCACCATTTAGTACCGAAGAGAGAAAACCTGATTCCTGAGAAACTCGATTACCTTTGCAAGAGTGACTTCTTTTATCTATGTGAATTCTTCCCGAGATGGGCACTGTTTCTTCAAAATCGAGTCCAGCTGCTTTCCCTATTCTTGGAGGAGAATCTACTATTCCTGAAAAGAGAGGCTTTTGTTCATCGTCAATGGAGGAGATGAAAGATGAAGATCTGCTTTTTTTCTCTTCAAAGTGTTTCTTGGAACTCTGATAATTTCTTATGGTATCTACAGAGTCTTCAGGATCATTTGTACTGTTTGCTTTGCCAAAATCTATCAAAGAAAAGTTATTTTATAGAAAATAATCAAATGTGAGACTCTATGCATATTATACTACCTATATATAAACTACCTTTTTTTAATAGTGATGTTCTTTGAATAACTTTAACGTAGAATTTTCTATAAAACCATAAGAAAAGTTGTTCTCTTTTTTCCTATTGAAATTGTAGCTACTTAAGGAGACTTTTTTTCTTAATTCAAGGGACATTAGATTATCTTAATGAAATACATTATTCATTTCAAGATTAAAAGGTTATCTGTGACAGTAATAATGCTTACATCTCAGAAAAAAAGCTATAGGATAACTTACAACCTTATACATGCTCAGCAGTCAATTGTATTCCTAAAATCTGCTGCACTCTCTCTTTAAGGAAATGGAAAAGGGAGGGAAAATGTGTCCCAATTCTAAAATATTAGCACTATGCACGTTGTTGTTTGTTTTTAACCTTCGTGTCCTCTCCTCTGTGGCAGCCATTCACACATTACACAGGTCAAAACTAGAAGCTTCTGGTAGTAAAGGCTGGTAGGCTGAATTTCAGCCTTAGTTCCATGCATGTAATGGCTTCGACATTCCAGGCAGTTTAGTTGTGTAGCATATTGTGAAGAATATAAAGCTAAATACAGTAATTAAGGTAGATTTACCTAATTACAGTAAAGCCAGTAGTGCATATTGGCTGTTTTATACTGAAATGTCAGGATAATTTCAGCCCTGAAGGTTATGTTAGAACATATTTCAGTGAGAAAAACTCAGAGACAAATCTCAGAACTTGTTTCCATTAATGTCCTGGGGAGACGGTATAATTCTCCATCTGGTTACTGCTAATAACTAACCAATATACTCCAGAAGGTATATCATTTTCTAGAGACGTGGTTAAGATAGTGTCCCCATCTACTCTCTGCCTGGTTGTGCTTACTTTGTTATTTATAGAAGACCAAATGAACTGATTTAAGGCCACTCCAGAGAAACTTCCAACTGTTTTTTAAAATTCCCATATGGCAGAGAAATTAAACAGAGATTTTTTTCCTTCATTTTTTTTAACTATCGTAATTTAAAATATGAAAAGCCAGAAAGCAGCCCAAGGTAAAAATGGATAGAGTTTAAAAATCGGCTTCACGTGAAATTGTTATTAAAGAGTTAGTTTATGTTCTGTCAATTAAAGTAAAATGTAGCAAAAGCCGATTGCTTGATTTTTTCTTTAAGGTTTCACACTTGCTCAGTGATTTCATCATCGCTGAGAAGACCATGGACCTTTCCAACCTCAAGCATTGTAAACATCACTCATAACTCAATGTCACTTATATTTCTCCGCTCAACCACTAATCTCATTGGTTGAAAATATTCAGATCAGCCCTTCCTACACAAAACCTTTCCTCTCCTGTGTCCTTGACACAGCTCGTTAAGCTCCTAAACTTCATTCTTGTCATCTTTTTTATTTTAACTGCTCTTTTTCTGAAAATTTGATCAACACTCCCCACTTTATGAACATATTGTTTCACTCCTTAAAAAATAATAGTTTCCAATTTTATGCGAGTAAATTTTTAAAAAAAGAAAGGCTTCACTTTTCTAAATTATCCTCATAGCTGCTTCGTGAATTGCATCAGTCTGCCGCTCTAAGTAAATGTTTTTGCAGTTTGAGCACCAGTGGGATGTGAATCAGCTCAGGTTTCTCGTCTTCCCGAAAATGCTTTCCTTTTTTTTGGTAAGGAAGATTGCCCCTGAGCTAACATCTGTTGCCAGTCTTCCTCTTTTTGCTTGAGGAAGATTGTCCCTGAGCTAACATCTGTGAGAATCTTCCTCTATTTTGTATATGGGATGCCACCACAGCATGGCTTGATGAGCAGTACGTAGGTCCATGCCCGGGATCCGAACTCTCGAACCCTGGGCCACCTAAGCCGAGCGAGCAAACTTAACGGCTACACCACCGGGCAGCCCCTGCTGTCCTTTTAAACACGTTCATGGAATCTTTTCCAGCAGAATCACATGTAAACGGAATTAATCATTAATTCATATTCCTCCAATCTAATTATAGATAATGCTAACATGGATATTTGTAATGAATGTACATCACAAATTGTTAAACCACTTTGTCTCTTTGGCTTGAGAGGTCTTGGGAGTTCTTTGTAGATTTTTAAATCCTCACACTTGGTAAAATGTTCTGTCCCACCTACTACATGGGCCTCAGTCTTAGTTTACTAATTTATGGCTTGATTTTGGATGTTTAGGCACAAATTAATCAATTAACATATATTGTAAAGTTGAATTATAACTTGCTGATTTCAACTCAGGATAGGTATTCATAAAATGTTGTGAATGAGGGATTATTATTTAGTCCTGTAGTAAAATGGAGCAAATTATTTCATATATGTGGTATCTAAATCCTTTAGCAAAAGTTCCAGATAAAAGCAGGATCATGAAAGAAGAAGAAAAAGTTTGATATCCTTGCATTTTCCAATTCATAAGAGGAATTACTCCACATTTATCTCTGTGTTCATTGCCATTGGATGATCAGCCAGCTGCTTCCAGGAACCCAGGCCATATGAACAGTTTCTTTGATGCACTCCAACTACAACAATATTTTTCTGTACCTTACTAGATAAATCAAAGCTTCATACGCTATCACTTAAAATGAAAGGTGAAATGACCATCTATTTGTGGATTAAAAATGGAAACTGCTCAGGCTTAGGCTGGAGGTTGGCTGATGGAATACAGGAGATTGGACTGAAATGCATTATAATTAGCCTCCAGGTACCTCTAGATTTCCTTTTTTTTTTCAGGGAATGATTCACCCTGAGCTAACATCTGTTGTCAATCCTCTTCTTTTTTTTTTTGCTCCCCAAAGCCCTAGTGCATGGTTGTGTATCCTAGTTGTAAATCTTTCTAGTTCTTCTATGTGAACCACTGCCACAGCATGGCAACTGACAGACAAATGGTGTGGGTCTGTGACCAAGAAACAAAACTCAGGCTGCTGAATTGGTGAGAACCCTGAACTTGAACCCCTAGGCCATCAGGGCTGGCTCAGGTACATCTAGATTTTGATGGCCTGTTCCATTCCTGCCTTTTTCTAAACTGGACTATTGATAGACATTAAATAGTATCAGTTACTATTTTTTCTTAATGCTATTCTTATTCTATGTAGAAATAGTATTCTGAGGGAATGTTACATTTTCCCCTTTGCTAGAAGTGAGATTGTATAATCACTCCTGTTACCATCATTTTACAAAGAAAAACTTGCCCGTTTAATTAAGCCTTAAATTTGTTTTCCAATTTAGATTACTGAAAACCTTTTTTTAATCCCTTGTTTCTGCAGGCTGACTATTCATCTCCTTCCCTTTTCTCAAAGGACACAATTCTAAAGCATTTCTGATTTGTCTTGTGGGTGTCTCTCTGGGTTCAGAATGAATTGAAGAGCACAGAATATGAGTGTCCTGATGGAGTGGTTGATCCCATCCATCTTAAGAATGATAATATAAAATTCTTCCATTTCAAACAATTTGGGAACAAACTCTTGTGCTAGCTCCATCTTTTATGGAGTCTTTCTCTCAGATTAATTACTATTTTTATTTGTCAGACCCAACAGGTAGACCTAATTTTTGGTCAAAGAAAGGCATTTAATGTGCTGTCTCAGTATGTGAGTTTTAGATTTCCTGCTGGTGACAGTTTTGAGATAAGCTGGGCATTTTCCAGCCAGATGCATTTAAAAAATTCATTTCATTGGAAAATTGGAGTCTAAAATTAATTTCTTCATTTGATTTCAAGTACCTTAGTTTCTCTCTTTAAAGAATGTTGAAAGGCAACTAGTGTCATTTTCGTATACAAATATAAGATAAAAAATTTTAAACTATTTTAAAAATTAAAACAAAGATACATTTATATATTACTAAAATGGATAACAAGAGCTAATCATTTTTTGTTATTGGAGAAGATATTCCAAAGAGATGCCAAAATATAATACCAATACATTTAAAGGCTTAGTTTAATGAAATTGGAATTAGACCATTCCTATTCTATAAAAATAAGTTTAAAAAATGTATATATTTACTCCTTACTTCAATAACTTTTATAGAATTTAGTTTATTTTAGAGAAACACTTTCAAAACTCTGACTCTTAGATGACAATGTGAAATCACTAAACCAATATTACAAAGAAATAAAGTTTATTGCTATCCTTTGAAATGCAAGGTGTGATGAATTCAAGACATTTCCACTCTTATTTTCTGGAATATTAGATTTTTCCAGTTAAAATATATAGAAGTGTTCATTTCAATAAAAATTATATGGGTAGGGAAATGAGAAAATTGCAATCTTTCTTCCTTACTCTAGGGATATACGTATGTATCTATTAAAATGGGTTTCTATTTTTCATGACATGCGTGGCACCATCTAAGTTCAGTGGAAAGAGGATACTGAAGATTTTTTCACCTTAATTTCCATCCCTTTGGTTGGCACAGGCACATCTTTCACACTATTTTAATTTTTTTTTCCTGTTTTTTGGGCCTGTTACATTGCTATTCTCTTTGGCTTATTCTCTGCCAAAAGGTCATTAGCTTCCTAAATCAGCCATTAGTAGCTACTTTGGTACTGCATTTTCCGTCCACAGAAAGAGTTGAGCAGAATATTCCAAATATGTGGTCACAAAAGTGCTATCAGCAAAAACTATACGTGTGTGTGTGTGTGTGTGTGTGTGCATCTCATATGCCATTATACATGCTATTGTACTAATATATTATGTATATTATAAAATCCACACAACATAAAATTAAAAAAGAATATATTATTCCATAACCCAATGGATCATATTGGCACACTCTGAAGTAAGCACAATCTAACTCTGAAGACTACTTAGAGACTTTTTTTCAACATGTTCCAAATGGCTATACGTCATTTACTTCTGTTCTGTCCAACTATCTTACCAATGCTCATGGCCACTGAATAGGTCATTGAAGATTAATTTTTATTCTTTATTTTCTGTAACAATAACATTTACATTTCTATATCAGGAACTGTAGCACTTCATCCTCCAGTGACCCTAGTCAAGTTGGGAAGATCCTGGGCACCCCTATGCCAGAATTTTAGGAAGGAAAGAGAACTACTTGAAGATACTTTCAAAAAATACAAGGTGTCCTCAAGTTCGTACCTGAACTGACAACTCTCTCTTGTTGAGAAGTGAATTTATGTCCTCAGAAGAAATGTGAAGTTCTTTCATCAACAAATTCATTTTAAGAGATAAGTGATCCAATATGTTAAGCTTCTATTTTGTTCAAGTGAACTTGCCAGAGGTTCTATATATATCTTTTCTTTTTTAATATATCTTTTTGAATGTAAGCTCCTTAGCACCATGTGGTAGGCATGATTGGAAGGTTGGGGTGGGGGTGGGGAGTGGAGGACTGAAGGCTGAAGAGTTCCAGTGCCTCGTTGAGTAGGCAGTGAGAGGCAATGCAAGAGTCAACCTCTGACTGTCTTCAATGCCCAACCACATGTTGCTCCCTCTGGTTCTTTTTGTGTGTGTGTGTGAGGAAAATCAGCCCTGAGCTAACATCCATGCCAATCCTCCTCTTTTTGCTGAGGAAGACTGGCCCTGAGCTAACATCTATTGCCAATCCTCCTCCTTTTTTTCCCTTTTTCTCCCCAAAGCCCCAGTAGGTAGTTGTATGTCGTAGTTACACAACCTGCTAGTTGCTGTATGTGGGAGGTGGCCTCAGCATGGCCGGGCAAGCGGTGCATTGGTGTGCGCCGGGGATCTGAACCGGGCCGCCAGTAGTGGAGTGCGTGCACTTAACTGCTAAGCCACGGGGCCGGCCCCTCCCTCTGGTTCTTGATGCCTCTGCTAATTAATTCACAGTCATTAGTGCTCTTGGATGTCTGCCTTCAAGGTATTGTTTCACATGAGCAGTAAACTAACTCTAAAATAACCAATGCATTTTACAGGTAGCTTTCAGTTTATGTACCCCCATAATCATTTAGCATCAATTATCTTACAAAAGTTCTCTGTTCTTTATACTTACTTATATGTGTGCTTTTCTCCTAGATATTGATTCTACATCAAGAAGTATAGAATGAGTGGCCAGCTTTAGAGTATTAGATTGGAGTGATGGGGACTAAATTTCTTTCAGCAAATTTTACACTCACCTCTAGCACCTTGAAGTCCTAAATACTGGAATAACTCTCAGCCTCTGAATAACTGGAGTTAATTGTGTTTTCATATTGACCAAATCATCCTTACTCACTGATGACACACCAGGAAACTTCAAAAAGCTGCAGGCAGGCAAATCCCTTACCATCTACACTTTATATAAAATGGATCTCATAGACTAAGCCTGTGATTAAAGGAAAAATTTTCAGAATCAATAGAAATGTCTAGTTGCATGAGCACAATCTAAATTGTGACATTCTCTCAGGGCCTTATCAGGAGATAAAAACGTTAGGTTATTTAGCTTCAGAATGAGGAAACTAAACAAGATTGAAAGGAGATTTAATAAATCTTCAACTGTATGGGAAACATTATTATATAGACAACATTCTCAAGCTGTTCTTCATTTCCAGCGAGATCAAAATAAGAGATTAACTTCAGGATAAGAGATTTAGATTAAGTCTGTGGAAGAACAGCTTGAAAGTAATGGTTCTGATTTTAGAAAAAGTCACCGATATGGTGTGGTTGCATGTGTGTGTTTGAAGACAGGGAGATAAATTCCAATTGAGGGAATGATATGAACGAAAACACAGAAACAATTTATATGGAAGAGAGGGCAAGTTAGCTCACTTGAAATGTAGAGCAAGTTGAAACTGATAGATGAGCTCCTTAGGGAGAGAATTCAGGGATAAGAGAAGAGGGCCAAGAAAAGAACTTGAATTAAGAAGGCAAAAGGAAGAAGAGAATCAAAAGAATGATGCTCAAATTCTATTTAATTAATTCATTCTTTCAACAAATATTTGTTGAATACCTGCTATGTAGCAAGCACTGAAGCTACAGGTGACTAAATATTTCCCACTTCCATGGAGCTTATAAATCTAGAGGCAGACAACACTGATTAAATAATGATGCAAATGAACACAGAGGTACAACTGAAATAAATGCTGCAAAAGAGAGGAGCTGATGCGGGAAGGCCAGGTTAGGGTGGTTAAGGGAAGGGTGGTATGAGACAAGACTGAAGAGGTAGGCATAGATCCATCCTATTAAGGATTTAGGGAATGGGAAGTCCCTAGAGGGCTTTAAATATGTGGATGACGTAAACATAACTGCATTTAGAAAAAAAAAATCACAATGGTCCAGTGGGGAGAATAGGTGAGAGAGGGGCAGGTTCAACGTGGAAAGGGGAGCTGGGACGCTGTTTCAGTATTACGGCTTACAGATTATGGTAGCTTGGCCCAGAGTTGTGGCTATAAAGATGGAGAGAAGTGAACCCAAAGGGACCTAGTTTGAAGGCTAAACGGAGATGTATTGGAGGTAGCAATAACAAGATTTTTTGCCAGAGTTGATGCAAAGGTTGAGAGAAGGGTGCATCCTACATAGATATCTGGTTTGTGCAATTGAGTGGATTGTGGTGTCATTTAGAGACATGGCAACTCATGGAAAGACAGGCTTCCAGAGGGACATTATGAGTTCAATTTAGGAAATGTTGAGTTAGAGCTGCCTTTGAGATTTCAAGTAGATGGTTTAATATGCAGTTGGATATATGAGATTGAAGCTCAGATGGTCTGGGATTAAGATGTAAATACATACATCTCCCATGTGAGAATATAATTAAAGTATGGGTATAAATGAGATCACCCAGGGAAAGAGTATGATATAAAACAAGAAGAGAAGAGGACCTAGGACCACACTTTGAGAAACTCTAATAAATAATAACTGTTTTAGAAGATAATGATCCTGCAATTATCTTCAGGGAATTGGTAAGAGTAGGAGGAAAATAGGAAGAGTACAGTGTCACAGATGCCAAGAGAAGAAAAAGAGGGGAATTGGTTCACAGTGTCAGATTCTGTTGAGAGGCCAAATACATTGAAGACTAGAATGTTTTCTGGATCAATATGGGGCAAGAGTGGAGGCTTCTTCAGGAAAGCCTTCTCCCATCTGCCTAGGAACAATTAAATGTACCCTCATCTGGGTTCCCACTGAGGTGTGCTTATTCATGTTACAGCACCATTTGTATTTGAAATGATAGAGGGCGTGTCATCTCTCTTCCTAGGGAGGGCAAGGGCTGTTTTACACAATTTGTTTCTGAGAAATTGAGTAGCTCTTTAAAAATGTGAAATGTTAAATAAATATTTGTTGGATATATGAGTACAACATAAAGAATAGTCAGAGGGGAAGAAAAACCAAGAGAGGACAAGGAGTGAGTGGCAAGTAACTCAGAGAATTTGAGGATGAAAGAGATTAATACCACCTTCAACCATATCATATATGCATGTGAGGATTGAGCACTAGGCCTGTAACAAAAGTCTTCCCTCTAGAACACTCTGCTCAGAACTCTGAGGGGTAGTTATACAATTGCTATTGAAGGAAGTAAAAATTATATTAAAAATTAAAAAGTTACTACCTTAGAGACGGGCACCTCCACACCCTAAGGATTCCTGGTATAAGGGGGAACGTTTATCGATCCTGACTGACTCTATTCATGGAAGACTTGCCCTAAACTGTTCGGGGAAAAATTGAGAACAAGAGAGTGCTCC